ATATACACACACATATATATATAAAAAAATATATAAATAGACAAGTAAAACACTTAACTGTCGTTAGCATTGATCCATCCACCAAAACAATAACAGTATGTAGAAAGACACGCCCAGACAGTGACATACAAATGACTGTGCTGGCTAACGGGCTAACGTATTTCCATTAAGGTTCAGATAATTATAAAGACTCATTTAGCTCAACTCACAGTGTAAACTACCACAGAGTAAGCTAATTAAACGTATGATGGCTAATTAGCTAGGCAGTTTATCGGATATCCTTTCCCCGGTAGCTTGCTAGCTAGGTTAGCTGTACCACAGCCTCCTGCAAAACCCCCTTTAACAATCTGTCAGTTAAATGCCGTTGTGTCTACCGGTTAAAATATAGCTGGGTTGAATATTTAAACGTTTATTTATGTATTTATATGGTCTTGTGATTAATTCGGCACGGTGCAGATATTGACAAAGCGATACAGGTTGATTCCTCGCCTTAATTCACAAAGACAAGCTCTTCATGTCACAGTCGGCAGCGCACAGAGACGAGTAGCGGTACCAAGCGCCCCGGTTGTAAAGTGTGACATTTTTTCCCCATTTATGTGCATTATCTGTGGATTATATATATGCCGAATTGATTGGTGGATCACAGTGTTTCCACAAAAGCTTTCAAATCATCTTACGCCTTTGTACGTTTTTACTGGTGAGCAAGAAAACATGAAATTGACAGAAGTTTGACCGGTAATCTGTGTGAGCTTCTCTGCATGCAACAGAACCGCACCGGGGCTTGACAATACACGACTTAAATTCAGTAACAACCACTCCTTAGTTATGGTCTTATCCAAATGCTTGTAATAGTAACTGCTTAATCTATGTTGACGTTAGCTAGCTAATGCTACTTTCCCTGAACTAAATTGACATTACAGTCACATTTATTTATTTATTTTTTTAACGTCTCACCGTTTGAGGTAGCGCGCGTCATCCTGCATCTTCCTCAAATTTAATGTTTCGGATTTTTAAAATTAACTTAATGGCTTGATCACATTTAATGAATCTCCCAAAATCACGACCATAAAAATCCGTGTGAATCGCTTGCACCACTGTCAAATCAAGAGTGGACTACAAACATGGAGTAGTTCCTTCCGTGCTGCTTCTTCTTCTTCTTCTTGTTCGTCTTGTTCTTCTTCTTCTGGTTATTGGTGCTATTACCACCTTCTGCTCCGGAGTTTGGATCTGGCAGTAGACTTTTCATCTTAAAACAACCTGCTCCTGCGTCTAATTTTAGGTTCAGTGCATCTTTGTGTGTGTGCGTATATGTAAGTTTATTTATTTCTGTTGGCTATGCATGTATATGAACGATATTTATTTATTTTATTTATTTTCTTCCGGTGAAATAAGAGGAATCAGCAGGTGTGGGAGGGGTTAAGCCTAGGAGAGCTGATGTCTGTATGTGTGAGTGTAATTGTGCTGTTGTGTTTTATGTGTTGTATTTTGTGGTAAGGAACCCCCTCGAAAACAACATGGTTCATCTCAATCCTAATAATAAACGTAATAAATAAATGCATTTAAATCTAGAATCATCTAAATCTAGAATCTTGGCCTTGCGGTTGTATTCCTCCGCCACTCAGACTGCTCTCAGGTTACATCCCTGTTTATCCAGAGTCATAAAATATTAACCACTTGTGTGAAATTTTGTCATAAGTGCTGTGTGAAGTCTTGAGTTAATGGCTGTAAAGTGTTTTGTGAGGTCACACTGACCTTGACCTTTGACCTTTGACCACTAAAGTCTAATCAGTTCATCTTTGAGACCAGGTCAACGTTTTTACCAAATTTTAAGAAATTCCCTCGAGGCGTTACAAGGCCAAAACCATATTTTTTGAACATGCAAGTTCCCTTATGTCTGGAGAATAGGATTTGTTATTTTACATTTTACCTTTATCAAAAAAAAACTTCATTTCCTGTAATTTGGATGATATTTCGATGAATAGTTCATCACGAACAGACAGACACAGACAGAGAGCACTTTGGTAAAGTCGTCTTTAATTGGAAGTCTATTTCAAATCACCATGTGATTTACACCTAACTGCTTCTAGATACAACCCATGTTCAGTGTGTGCCGCTGGATGTTTACCATTGTGTCTGTACGCAATATGCTTTCTTTACTTTGTGTGTGTCCTGACTGAAATAATGTTTCACTGTCTCCCCCCACTTCCTGTCTTCAGGTGTCCTTTGCTCTGCCCTCTCCTCTTTTCTCTTTCTCTGCTTGTACACCCCCCCCCACTACTCTTCCTCCCTTCTCCCTCTATTCCACGTCCCCTCCCTCATCCTCGTCATCAGCACATGCTGCGAAGTCCTTCTCAGGTAAGAGACCGTATTCGTTGAGAAACGCCTCCACATCGGTTGCGAAGAAGTCTTCGGTGAAGTGTTTGGTGACAGACAGGAAGTTACCCAGGAGCTCACCCGCCTTGTACACCAGCAGGGCAGGAAGAACCTGAAAGCATATTAACAGGAATCCTGATTTACTTGTAGTTTGATCATCAACATCTTGTCAGCTGTATATAGTATTTTTTTAATTTATCTTATTTGTTCTAGATTCTGTTTCTATCTTAAAAACGTAGCTCAATCAACATAATGCTCCATAGAACGTCCAAATGAGTGACAATATAGCACAAAGATTTAGCATGATTAAAATGCATTTAGATATTCAGTTATTGCACGATGCAGTGTAGAAGAGGTGTTTCTGTTATTTAGCCTGCCCTCAGTGATTTAAATCAGTTGGATAAAATAATAGAAACACCCGTCCGTCTATACAATTAGACAGCAGCACAAACTGCAGCCTCCAAAATCACCATGAATTTCAATGAATGCGTCTTTAAAGCAGTTTCAATAAAAACTGAACATTACAACCTTGGTGGAGGTCAGACTTGTTGCAGGACTGTAAAACAACTGAATCCCACTGTGATTTTCTGTGACGCCACAGAAAATCAGCGGTCTGATCTTCATTGTTCTTCAGTAACCGCTGAAAGTCATGCAGCAAACGGGCTTTTAGTTTTGTTCCTTTGGTTCCACAGTGTCCGGTCGCTGCCATGGAGTAATGCAAACTTTTTTGCTTGTGCTCTTTTTGCTTCTGGGTTTGAAAAGGTGGGAAAACACTGTGGAAACCAATCGCTCTTGCATTGGTTCAAAGGTCAATTAATCTCTCTTAACCTCACAGCTCTTCATTCGTTCACTGCCATCAACTGCATGAAATTACACTGACAGAGTGGTGTCTGAATGGCGAATGAACCACTCAGGTCTTTACAGGCCACATTCAAACGTGTTGATTTCTAAACATGCAGCTCTGTTTCTATCACCCACACACCAACAATTTGGGGTTCAGTATCTTGCCGCCCACTACAGCTCGATGATTCGATCAATACGTTTACTCACCTCGGAGGAGAAGCGCTCAGCTGCACCTGTTGCCACGGCATCAATACGACAGAACTTAACGCTGGAGTACTCTGAGGCCAGACAGTCCAGACAAGAGTTCAGCTGTTCACAGCCTGACAAAGGACAGATAACACATGCATACATGGTTAATGGACGGCACTTATATAGTGCTCCATACACTCATACACTGATGGAACAGCCATCAGGGACAATCTGGGGTTAGGGGTCTTTCCCAAAGACACTCTGACATGTAAACTGGAGTGTATACTGTAGTTAGTAAATGAGTTTAAGACATAAATACACAGGATAAAAAAACGCTGACCTTTGACACCGTGCTGGTAGATGTGGACCACCACCAGGGTCAACCGGTGCTCCTTCTCTATGACTTCCAGGAAGGCTTCTCCGCTGTCCAGCTCATGAACAGCTTCAAACCGAGGACCGAAGCTCAGGCGCTCGTGCATCTCCTGCATACACTGTTTCCTGTAGCGTTTCAGGCAGCGCTCATCCTCTTCCTGGATCAGCTCGTACTCCTGAACGCTCATCTAGAGGCCAGGAAATACGTTAGCTTGCTTTTTATTGCTAAGACGCAGCAGAGGCTAATGTTGCTGTGTGCGCGGTATGTTTTTGTCTCTTCTTGTAAAACTCTTTTTGTTTTGGAGGCACATATCTGAGCAGCTATGGTTGTGTCTATTGTAATCATGTCATTAACTATAAAATATTTAAATGATGCGTGTTAATGTGACGACCACCTTTCTGTTGAGTCTCTCCTTGTCATCGTCCCGAGGACTGGACATCTGTCTCAGCAGCTGTCTCTTGTTTTGAGGGGCGGTCTGATCCACGCTGTCCAACTTGAACCTTCTCCAGTCATTAATCACACCTTTGGGACCTGCGCGCACACAAAAACATCACCTCATGACGACACAGGCGTGTTTACAGGGGAAACAAAGGTGAAGTTAGAGACATCCATCGGTTTTGAGTCAAAATGGCTGATGATCTGTTGTAAAGACTCTAGTCATTTTAGCGATAAACGTGTCCTTCATCTTTGTGACTTGTGTCTCTGACCTGTGTGGTTGGCAGGTAAGTCCTCTTCTTCCTGGACAGACATCCTGCTAGCAGCCTGCAACACACCGAACACACACACACTAAAGAACGTGACCGGGCACAAACACGCAGCAGCTGAATCACTAAACATCTAAATGCAAAACTAAATACACTCAGGAGTGCACCTGGGTTCAGTTTAAGTGTTGATGAAAGGCCAAAACAAAGAGGAAAAGATCATTTGTGGCTCAGTCATCTGAGCGCTGACAGTCATATTGAACACTATAACACTAACACCACTATCTGCAACATTTTGTGTGTGCACATATGGATGGCTGCCTGCAGCTGGACACACACTTGTCATGGCCGTTTACTGTGAACCAGGCTGAAGTTTACTTATCAGATTATGAGGAGATTACCAACAGTCTGGCGTGTCCACACGCCGAGGACATCTTAGTATATTCTGTATGAGCAAGTGTGTGATGTGTCATTCTGTTTACGGCTTTGTGAGACAAACAGGTTTCATTCTGTTGTTGTGATCCTGAAATTACAACATTTACCTCTGATGACACACTGAGTTTTTAGAGAGAAAGGGAGAGAATGTTACTTTATAATTTCACTTTCCACTGATTAAATAGATCATACTACGTTCTTTAATGGAGTTCTGTTTTGTTAAATCATCAGATTTGGTTCCTTCTCCCACATGACCTCTCTTCTTCTTCTGTCAGAGTTTACAAAATGTAGCGTGAAGGCTTCAGTTAAATTATAAACAAAGCTGACATTACTCTGAGGTGCAGACACACCGGTGAGGAGACCACTCCTCCCCGGCTGCACTCACAGAGGCCACATTGAAAGCTGTTGTGCTGATGCAGCTGAGCTGTCCTAATCAACACTACGTCAGCCGCAGGAAGCTAATTCCTCCATGTCATCAAAGTGATTTACGTGTTGCATTGATGGATTTAATTCATTCAGCTGCTCAGTTCAGAAAGTGGACTCCAGCGCAACAGCTTTAAATGTGGCGGAACATGAGTGGAAAGTATAAGAATAAAGTATTTAAAGTATAAGTACATACACTGACTAATGTACGCATATTAACAAATGATTTGACTAAAGCAATGACCATTTAAAAATGTTACAATTACACATTTCTGGGAAATCAAGACAGCAACGTTGTACAGCAACAGTATTATAACAGAAAATATTTAGAAAAATACTTTCAAGCGAATTTGTTGCAAAGCGACCGCGGCCTTACAGAAGCACAGTGGAGAGACTATGGACGCAGCTCCAGAACTCATGTCTGAATGGAGAAAAAAACAACTGCAACAAACACGCAGGTGATACAAGACAAGCTGCACAGAAACCTGAATGGTACCTACCGAAAACTGCCACGAATCGTCACCTCTACGTCTTGAATGAAAACTGCTGTCTGTTTTCTTTGAGGCCGGTCGGTTCCTTGCAGCTTATTTGTTTTGTTCGATCTTTGTTTGTTGCGTCTTTGTTGTCTTCTGTCAGTCTGGACCTTCACTGGGCAGTGTGTCCACAAATCACAGGAGAGAGGGGAACACAAGATTAGAAAAGGGAGGGGAGACGGATGAGGTGAGTAAGCTTTATCTTCACTGTCATCCTCATCATCACTGTCACTGTAATATGATGTGTAATATGATTAGTTATAATACCAAGCTCAGTGCCTTGGATTGATGACAGCAAGGTAGACACAAGTAAGACAACACATTTCTTAGCTTCAGCTAAGTCTGCAGCCTTGTATGTATCTCCAGCAACAAGTCTTAACCAGACTTTATTGATCCCTGCAGTGAAATTAACAAACTACCATCATAAAAAGTCATTGAAGGTCCCATATTTTACACTTTACTGGTGCTTTAATTCAAAGCCTTGATCCATAAGAAGATATATTTGTGGTTTTAAGAACCAAAAACCATCTTGATGTAGTTTTACATCTCCTCTCTCAGGTTTTTGTCTGGTGGTCTAGTAACAACAGCCAATCAGAAGAGAGGAGGCTCTGAGCCTCTCTTCTGATTGGCTGACTGTTTTCTGAGTGATCCAATAAAAATATAAAAGATTTCAGGTTAAAAACTCTCAGAGAAACCAAATCCTGCAAGGTTTGGATGGTGGGTCCAGGTGGGCGGGGCTTGGTGACTGCTTTGTTGTGACATCACAAAGTTCCAGAAGTCCTGACGGCTGGTTTTAAGGCTCAGTGTCTGAATACAGGCTGTGTGCATTTCTCTGTGGACTGAGGCTTTGATACTTTCACAGTATTAATATAGAACCTAAACCTGATCTATAATCACACTACACATGGACACAGACCTTGTACAATATGGGACCTTTAAAGTTAGCTCCACCCTTACCAGCTACACTTTGATGCATCAGTATTTATATAACATTATTTTGAAATAGGCCATAATGAGCAGGCCTACTTTTATTTTTGTCACTTCAAGTATATTGTGATTCTAATACTTATGCAATATTAATATAGATAGGTACATTAGCTTTGTGGAAAGCTAGACAGTTGACAATTTAAATGTCTATCATTTTGAAACTGGAACAAGGTTCATATAGTGGTTGTGTGGGAAGGTAATCTGAAAACAATGAATGGATATGGCAGAACAATGCCTCAAGATTATGTAAAAGCTGTAAAGGAACAGTTTAACATTTAGGGAAATGCATTTATTAGATTTATTAAACCAGCTATTTAAGAACTTTGAGAATTTAGAGCATACAGGCTGTTATTACAATATTCATCCAGCAGGTGTCACTGTGACTAAGGTAAGAAGGAGCTGCTCTACATTTGATTAGGAATACAACAGCTTGGTACAAATGATTACAGAACAGCATGAACACCACTCTTCTACTGTTTACACAAAAACATACTATTAATACAATACAACTACAATACTGATACTTTTTTTGTTTATCCTGTTGTAAAAACTTAATGTCACTTTGCTCTCTCTCTATCTCAAGTCATGAGAAAATCAAGTTATGTCAAGACAAGGTTATCTCTAAATGACAAACAGATCGTTCAGTCTCAGTAAATTATCCTCTGAAATGATTACAGCCATTTATAATCTGTGAACCTACAGAAACAACGTCCGGAGGAGCTGTCAGACTTCAAACACATGAACACAGAGCTACCAACCTCATACATTTCCTCTTTTCTCTTACAAACAACTCAACTTCTTACTATAAGTTTCTGTCACATATACTGTATTACAACCATACTGTATGTGTATAGATGTTTCTCATGTTCTCTGTGTTGTGAAATACATGTGTTGGAGTTCAGACCAGGGGCGAAGCCAGACATTGTAAACATTCGGGGCTTAATCCCAATTTAAGTGAATATTCAGGGGACATTTATTTCCCCCGTTCACAGCAGCTTCATGCTGTTCACTGTATCAAGACATTTGTACATCATTTGGGAAAAACAGGAAAGGTGCCCAGGAAAAAAAAAGAAATCCTCCTAAACCTGCATCATATTCTGAATCTAATTGTTCTGTCTCCATCGTTCTGAAACCACAACACAACAGATGCTGACAACGACTCATTCTCACTACTGTCACATAAAAAGAGGCAGAGATTGTCTGATGTGACTGTTTTGACTTTACATGACACGGGTGGGGAATGAATTTGACATAAACAGCATCACTAACCTTGACACCTGTTGTTGTGACACTGTGCTGGAGCAGAGTTCACAGATTTAATCTTTAAAGGACAAATCTATATTTAAATCCAGACCATAATAATATATGCTGCTCTAACTGAGCAGACATGGATCCACAACAAGGCCAAGTGAATATCTTCACGACTCTGAACTGAATATAAGGCTGAAAGAAGAATATTACAGAATATAATAATCATGGATGGAGCATTTAAAGGAGAATCCAGCCCTTTTTAAGAATTCACTTTTGTTGCAACTGTAAATGTGTTGTTTTTTTCCTCCACTGTCTTTAATTAAATGTTCAACTGGTTTGCAATTAATCCTTTGTTTTAATGGAGGCATATTTAATAGCTAGTGAGTTATGAATGTTTTCCTGAGTACATTGTTTAGAGCACTATATCATATTGAAAGAATGCATTGTGAGATGTAATAACAGTAGTGGTGTTACCAGAAGCAGATGCAGTCACAGCTGTAATGGCTGCCTGTAATAGTTAGACAGATAGTAGTTGTTATTGTACAGACTATGGGCGGGTCTGTGACAGGATGGAGAGAGCATGAGAGAAGGAGAGAGAGACACAGAGGAGGAGAGGATGTGATGAAGAACAGACAAACCAAACTCCGTCAGCTCCTCTCTTTTTTTTTCTTTTTTTTTTTTACAACTTTTATATCCGACTAAATAAAAAAGTGCGTGAAAGCAGCGTGTTGGACAAATCGGAACCTGCTCTGGTTTGAGCCAATCAGTGCCACAGGAAGCTTTACAACCGGTCCGAGCCATGCCGGTGAGACGGGGCCATGTGGCGCCGCAGAACACCTTCCTGGACACAATTATCCGCAAGTTCGACGGACAAAGTAAGTAACCTACAGGGAAAAATATTACATTTTATCATCATTTTTCTTATCATAAATTTATGATCATCATATTAAAATGCCAATAAGGAAAGGCAAGTTTATTTAAATAGTAGACGCAAGTTAATTCAAAGTCATAACATTGAAATAAGACATTAAGAGGACATTAAAATAGCATTTAAGAGACAATAAAAACAAGCGAGCAAATAGTTAAATACTTAAAGATTAAAAATAAGTTACTTTATAGACAAAGTAATAGGATTTAAAAATCTATCCTTCAGAACACAGGAAGTCAGTGCAGTGATTTAAAGATTGGTGTAATGTGCTCCACTTTCTTGGTGTTAGTGAGGACTCTGCATGAGCTGCATTTATCTGGTTAATTTCATACTGAGACCTGTGAAAACACCATGACCATATTATAGCCTGCAGCCTGTTGTTGCATCGTTTTTAATACAGAAATTCTTTTATTCACATCATGTTTTTCAGGTGGTAGTATGATTTAATAATTGTCTTTATGTGGCTGATGAATTTAGGTCAGAGTCCATAAGATTTGTGGCTTGATTTGTAAGTTTTAGTGACATGGATTCAAGGTGAGCACTGACTTTTATTCTTTCTTCTATGGGGCCAAAAACCACTATTTCAGTTTTCTCTTTGTTCAGTTGTAGAAAATGCTGGCACGTCCACTCATTGATTTGTTCAATGCACTTATTCTGCAAGTGTAAAGTCAGGTGGTGACACTAATGTAGAGCCGAGTGTCATCTGCAGAATTATGGTAAGAGATGTTATGTTATGTTATGATAATCTGAGCAAGGCGGAGCACGTAAATGATGAATAGAAGAGTCAGTGCTGTGTTGTGGGTGAAATCCAGAGCACTAATGAAGGTTTACACCAATAAATAAGGACTGATATGTTTGCCTATATTAATAACCTCTTCCTGATGACAGATTTCTGTTAGCATGGCTTTTTTAGCATGGCTGTTAGCATGACTCAGAAAGAGTGACTTGATGTGCATTGTTTTGGGTGTTATTATGCCTCATAGATATAAATCTCTAGACCTTTTCCCATGGTCTAGTGTTAAAAAAGTGAACAACAATTGCAATAAATTGAAATATCAAATCATGATTGATGGATCGCTAGTGAGCTGTTAATCAAGCCTTTATTTTTAAGCGAAATTTTGTGCCCAGTGGCAGACACTGCACAGGGAAAAAGCTAGACTTATAGAGAACCTAGAGAATCTAAACACAGATGGTGTCTTTATTCTATAGCCGTTATATTGTGGAATCAATATTTACCTCATAATGATAAATTAAAACAAAAAAAAGCTGTATTAGAGCCATTTTTTGTATTTACTGCAAATTATACTTTCACAAATTTGCTAATTTATTGAGTTGATGTAAATCAGTGTAAATTACTTTGGATTTATCTTTGGATCCAGTGCTTGAAGTCTTCACTAGTTGTTGGTAGTCCTCGGCCCTCTCCATTTCAGGCTCTGGGCGATTGTATTGACCCCAGTGTTTTTTTTTTTTGTAAAAAATGAGTTGGGAGATCCGACATTAAACTCAACAAACATACGTCGCGGTGTCCCGCCCACAGCTCCATGTGATTGGTTTACGTCACGAGTAATAGCCTATCACGCTGAAGGCCTCTGTGCGCACAGACGGTCACAGACTACAGCAGTTCCGATTAGCTAGCGGAGCTGTGTGTTGGAGGTAAGAAAACAGACATCAAGACGTTATAATGAACATCACTAAAGTTACAACAACACCACACTCTGATGAATAAGTCCATCTGTTGATTCAAGACACAACGAGCAAGAGAGGGAGAGGCAGAAGCTAGCGCTAACCGCTAAGCTAAAGTAACTAGTTGGCCTGAATGGCATTTAAACAACTGCTGAATTAGTGAAAGTCGCCAAAAGGAGCAGAGAGCTCTGGGTGCTGGAGCAGAACTAGTGTAAGTTTAAATGTACAGCAGGTAGTTAGACACTGTGATAAAGAAAATAACAACATTAACTGTGTTCAGACAGAGCAGCGATAAACTGTACCAGTCACAGAAACTCCAGAGACTGGGGATGAGACACTACAGTGACGTCAGAACGTCAGAACGTCAACGGTCACTAACTACCGTTACTGAAAAGACGTTTTACTACAGTAGAAGTAAAAATGTTCTCCGGTAAAAGTGCAAAGTGACTCAGTTAAAATGTCTCTGAGTAAACGTGTTACATTTTAAAAGGGGAGGGGTAAAACATGTTATATGGTGATAATAATATATGATAAAACTTTTAATTAAAGAGCATCTTTAGGCTGACAGGTTGACAAGTTAATTCCAGTCAGGCTCTTTGTAGCCTGTGCATACAACTGATAATTACTGACATACACTGAGTTTTCAATTTATTAGGAACATGTAGCTAAAACTGATGTAGTCTGATACAACAGTCCTGTAGTAAAACGGTTTTAATCAGTTTTTATTGACTAAGAATGTGTAGGAACAGGCTGAATAAGACTGCATTGTTTTGTGTTGAGTTGGAGCTAAACTGCAATGATTGATGGATAACTGGTGCTCTGGGCGGCTGTCTCTGTACATGTGTCTGTTTATATGTGTGTCTGTGTACTTATGTTTCTGTGCAGTCTAATCAGCTGATGTGAATCAGCTGTGTGTGTCCAGCTGCAGTTAACGGTCTCCATGGTGACGGTAACTCTTTAGTTACAGCTGGTTCAAGCAGGGTGTGTGTGTGTGTGTGTGTGTGTGTGTGTGTGTGTGTGTGTGTGTGTGTGTGTGTGTCAGTTTAAGCTTTGGGTTCTGTGGATATTTTGCATTTTGGTATTTTATTAAAGTGCTCTGGGAAGTTGTAACATCCCTCCTTTCTTTCCTCTCCTCTTCCTCTACAGATCGAAAGTTTATCATCGCCAACGCGCAGGTGGAGAACTGTGCCATTATTTTCTGTAATGACGCCTTCTGTGGGATGTGTGGTTATACCCGGGCTGAGGTGATGCAGAAACCCTGCACCTGTAGCTTCCTGTACGGACCTCACACCCGGAGACCAGCGGTGGCCCAGATGGCGAAAGCTCTGCTGGGAGTGGAGGAGAGAAAGGTGGAGATTTCCCTCTACACTAAAGACGGTATGAGTCTCACAAAGTCAGTCATCATTTGAATCAATTATGGCAAGATCCATTAACTTTAATATATATAATATTACTAATATACTATAATTTTTTATTTTGTTGTAATTTTGTTATTAATTATGGTTTGGCAACATTTACTTTGCATTTATATGCATAAACAGGCCATAATTACTATGTCAAATATGACCCATAAAAAACATCTAAACTAATCTAAAAAAATCTAAAAAAATGAGTCAAAATTTACCCGAAGACAATAGGAAGGTCAAAGCAAAACAAAGTGTGATAATAGTGAAGTGTCCTGAGGACTTTCTGTAACTGCTGTGTGTGAAGTGTATATCTAACACATGAAAACACAGACATACAGAGGAGGAAGACAGAAACTGGAGGAGAGCAGGGAGTTAGCAGCTGAATGTCAGGAAGGAAGAGCATGGTAGCGAGGATTGGTGTGTGTGTGTGTGTGTGTGTGTGTGTGTGTGTGTGTGTGTGTGTGTGTGTGTGTGTGTGTGTGTGTGTGTGTGTGTGTGTGTGTGTGAGTGAAAGGGCTCAATAATCTTTTGGCTCTTTCCATTAATCTCTAATCCGCCAGTTTATCATTTCTTTGGGTTGATATGGTGCTTATGCTCTAATGAAAACTATGATCCTATTTACTCATTGTCCCTAAAGACTGACACTGACCTTCACTATGACCTCCACACACACACACACACACACACACACACACACAATTACAAAATAGTTTGGCTTGTTTCCAACATGATAATCCTCACACTCTGAGCTGATATTGAGACTAAATCATGATCCGTACTGACCTTTTTGAATACTAATTGACTGATGTTGTCATTTTCCTTGGGGGGACGTTGTTATAGCTCTGTTGCAAAGTTACGCTTCCTCCTCCTTTGCTCCTGACAGACAGAAGTTCTCATTCACACAACCACTCGCTGTCAGGGAAACTCTCTCTCTCTCTTATCTCTTGATTACATATACCTCTTGTTTAAAAGACGATATTTCAACATGTAGCAGCTTCTACAGGATCTACTTTATATATTTCTTGGTAAAACCTGTTGATGGAGGGGGAAATAATTTTAATATTTTTATATATATTGCAGTATTATTGTTGTGTTTGTGTGGTGGTGGTGTGTTCATCTCCCCCTACAGCCCAGATTCATCCACTGTACTTAATGCTACAATACATGTGTTGCGTACGTTGCACATTAACCATAGTGTGTGTGTGTGTGTATGTGTGTGTGTGTGTGTGTGTGTGTCTGTCTGTTTTGCAGCAGATGGTCTTCCAGTCAAGTCAATGTGATATCATTATTGAGGTAGAAAGTAACTACATTAATCCATCTCGCTGTCAATTTAGCCCCAACACTAACACTCTGTCCTTCACACACACACACACACACACACACACACTCACACACACACACACACACCCTGATGCACTGCGTTCTGTCTCATCCATCCATGAAATCCTGTTTCAGTAGGAGACAGAGAACAGCCTGTATCCATAACCGTTTCTGTTTTGAACTGAATTGAAGAAATGACACAAAATCCTCCAGTCTTCATGTTTGTAGTATTTCCCATATAAATTTAAAAATATTATATGATGTAAACTCACATGAAGAGCAGAGCAAGTCAGTAAAATATTCAGAGCTCAGTTGAAGTTAAATAAGAAATGTTTATATCTGTTATCATCTGCACTTGCACCATAGTCTCACATTTCACTGGATCCTGAGGTTGATTAGTTTCACATAATCTCACAGGCGTTATATGGCATCATAATCAGTCTAACTTAATTATCACTGCATCAGAAGCTTCCTATACTTGATGAAATGGTGGAGGACGTTGCATAATGCAGAAATGAGTGACATGAAGGAGAGCAGGGTTTGTTTGTGTCTGTAACTGCACAGCTCACTGTGGATTATTCCTAATAGAAATACTGAGAATGTGCAATATCCAAAGAAAGTCAACTTTATCTTTCTTTTGCTATGGACTGAACACTGTGAACACCAATCCATCCATGATATAAAAAGTTTATTGTGAAGTCTACACAAATGTTTAAGACGGTCAGAATGACTTTATGATCACTTGACACAAACACTTTGTGAGGTGGACTTGATTTTTTTATGTTAAGTCAGTGATTTTTGAGTTAATTTTACTTACATTTATAAAGCTGACACAGCCTAATTGATTTTAATGCTATCCTATTAAAACAAATTATTTGATCATTTATACAGAATAAATAAATAAATAAATAGCCTAAAAAAAACAACTTATTTGTTTATTTCATATATATATATTTTTCTCTCTATTTCTCTCTCCCTCTCAACAGATATAAATATATATAAATCATCTAAATCTATAGAGATAACAAGGAGCTTAAAGCTGTCAGTCGTTCTCTGTAGTAGTGTATGACATCGTCTTATGTTATCTTATGATATGGCTTGTTATGTCATCACTTTCTTTGTCTTTATCTTGCTTCACCAAATATATTTTCATTTAAATTACTGATTTCCTCTCAGAATTCTTAGTAAAAAAAGACTCTGCTGGTACAATATTATAAATATATATTGACTAAATAACAATCATTATGGGCGGTTGACATATAGAGTTTTTAAGATGTTAAATATCAGTGAAGACGCTCAGATGATTTAACGAGCAGCACAGTCATCTTCTGTCCGGTGTCGCCATCTAGAGGAGAGATTCAGAACGACATGAATCTACTGACTCTTCTCTTCCTGTCCCAAACAGGCGGGTCACAGGTCATCAGAAGTGAAGTGAATTCTCCCTCCATTCTCCACTCCTCTGCGTCTCTCTGTCGCTGCAGGAGTGTGTTTCAACTGTGAGATAGACGTGGTTCCAGTGAAGAATGAGGACGGCCTGGTCATCATGTTTATCCTCAACTTTGAGCTTCCCACTGACCCCAGACCAGCCGACAGCTCTCCAGACAGAGAGCTCAGCAGAGTGCTGCGTATCCCCTGGATCAACATGGGTACGTTTAATTAACGCCGTCATCAGTGAGCTCATAAATACTACAGAGGGAAAACAGGATTTTACTACTTTTTGCAGATTCATTAAAAAGGAAAAAACTGAAATATCACATTGACACAAGTATTCAGACACTTTGCCATGACACCTGACGTTTAGCCTCCACTTTCTCTTGATCATCTCTGAGATGCTTCTACACCTTGAGTCCACCTGCGGTAAGCTCAGCTGATTGGACACACACCTGGTGTCACAGCTGACGGTCTGATGAGACCAACATCAAACTCTGGCCTCAATTCTAAGTGTCATGTCTGGAGGAAACCCTGACAGGAATGTTTGTTAATTAGGTGAAAGAGTTACTGAACCGTCGCTGTCTTCCTCTTGTGCTCCGCCCAGCTTGGCCACAGCGTCTGCGCCTCCTCCTCCGCTCCCTCTGCCCCAGTTCAGGTCTGTCGTCACAGGACACAGAGCTGGGTTCTCCTCGTGCCGACCTCCTTCCCTTCGGACGGGAGTCCGTGGCCCTGGACAAACTGCTGTCCCTCCCTGAGAGACAACATCTGGAGGAGGCGGGAGCTAGACTGCTGCTCTGGGACAGAGAGGAGGAGGAGGAGGAGGAGGAGCTAATGAGAGGAAGAGAGAGGGAAGACTTGTCGGTGCCCAGGCGAAGGAGTGAGGAAGACAGAAAGAGAAGAGAAGGAGGTGATGCTGATGGGTTTCTGGTGGATACAAGAACAGGAGGAGGAGGAAGAGGAGGAGGAGGAGGAGGGAGAAGAGGTGGGGGGTTTCACACAGGTCTGCCCACAGCTCCCACCTCCGCACCCCCCACAGTGGCCCTGCCCCCCGCCTCCTCACATGCTCCACCAAGGTTTAAATCTTTTCATTTTCTCCTTGTAATAAACATGTAATTGTGATTGTATATGAACATGAAATGAGCAGCTTAGTTTTCGTCAAAGTAAAACGTATTTTTATAAATTTGTTTTACAATTTTCACTCACTGTTTGTTTATACAACAAACTCTAAATGATCAAATTATTTAGGTTTTAAATATTTTATTCACTTTTTGAGAAAGAAAAAAAATCCTTTGTTTAATCATTTACAGCCAAACTGTAGTTTTAAGATTTATATTTGAAGACAAGGATGTGCCATACTAAATAACATTAAAAATAATAATAAATAACAATAGTTATAATAATAGTGGAGGTCTTGGAAAATAAAATACACCAATAATTAGATGATAAGATCCTGATAACTTGTGATTTAATGCTGCCATCCATTTTTACTGCTTCCTCCCTTATTGTATTGTTGCTTAGTTTTTTCTTTTGTGTATAGATGTGGTTTAGGTGATGAGGTGATGATGTTTGAGGTCCACTTAACAAATGTACGTTGTATGTAGGAGAGAGGAGAGAAGGAGAGGTGAAGACGACTCTCCTCTTCACATCCACCCTCCCTCCAGCAGCTTTGATGGCAGCTGTGTGAGTTTGAAACACTCCTCCTCGGTGGATGATATCAAGAGCGGGCAGAGTTACTGGGACAAGAGGCTGCAGTTGAGACACAGCTGCACTGGTGAGGATGTAATCCAGTTTAATTCTTCTCCTGTCCGCCGCATGTTTTGTTTATAACCCCTGAAAGTCTGAAAGTGCCCCAATAAGTCCAAGTAAAGGCAACCTGCAGGAGACTGAGGCGTCCAAAGACACTGAAATTACTTCCTCACAAAGAAGTACTTTTTTATTTCAAAAGAAGAGAAATGACTAAATTCTACTTCAGGTCAAAGAGAGTTCTTTTAAAGAAGCTATTTGTAAGTTTTGCTATTGCTACATAATCAGCGTTAGCATTAGCAGCTGTTTACTTACACGTCTAGAAGAAATATTGTGAGTTCAGCATCAAACTTCTTTCCTTTACTCACCAACAGCTGTCTCCAGAGGTGGAAAACTACCCTCTTGTTTTACTTCAATTTCTATCACTTCTTTTCTTCTACTGAAGTTAGCGCGCTAACCAGCTAGCCTCGTCCCAGTCGGACTGTCGCGTCACTTTCCGATACCAAGTAACTGTAGCGTCCAGTCCTCCCTGTGGAAGTAGCGCTGCTCAGAGGACGTGTTACGACCTCTTGTCTTAAATAAACACGACGATGACTGAAGCTCTTGCTAAGACTGGTAAGTAAACAGCTGCTAATGCTAACGCTCGCTATGCTTCACTGCAGGAGCAACGGAAACCTTGCAGCTCTCTCGAAGCTGCAGACGCTCTCAGACTCAAAATATCAAAAGTCTGTTGCTGATCGCTCTCAGAATGAATTCCACTGTAACTGCAACACAGCTTCTCCCCTCTTCTCTCCTTCAGCAGGTATAGTAACCATTAGAAAGACCAGCGGGCCGGCTGGGATGTCAGACACTGATTTGCGTTGCCGATCCAACAGCCAGGTAACACACGCAGACACAAAGTGCTCGACAGTTACAACATGGTTACGTTTGTGCTCGTACAGTAAGAGTGGCCAGCTGACTGTAGATGACTCACAGTTTTCTTCATTATCTCCCTTTTCTCGTTGAATGATACTTTAAAATAAGAGGCTCTGACCTTTGACCTCTTTGTTTTGGTTGCTGCTCTGTATTGAATCATTGATCAATCATCGTGTGTGTGTGTGTGCATGTGTGTGTGTGTGTGTCCGCATGCAGCTGATCTCCCAGAGCCCACTGGACACAAAGACTGACGCCTTCATGGCGTTACCTCCTGGTGAAATCAGACCTCCTTGTAAACTGATCGACAGAACGCACCACGTCACTGAGAAGGTCACGCAGGTTAGTAGACATGACTTAATGCTCTAATGTTTCTTCTCCAAATGAAGTAAACCAGCTGTTCATCCATCCATCCATCCTGTCAGAGTTTGCTGTGACAGACATGTTTGTCTCATTTCCTGTTTTATTTTGAAGTAGCTGTCCTTGTGTGTCTCTTGTTGTTATTGTCTAGTGGACACTGAAGAGACAGTTTCGCCATCACCAGTATTAAGACGCCAAATGAGGGAATGTCTTTTTGGAAAAATGTTCCACATACTTGGAGAATCTATAACAAGGAACAACACCTTACAAACACACTGCATGTCGGCTTTTCTGTCTGTCCGGTGCTGCCACAGATCAGCCTGACGCAGCTGTAAATAATGATAATAATAATAATAATCTCTCTCCTCTAGGTTCTGTCTCTGGGTGCCGATGTGTTGCCGGAGTATAAGCTGCAGACTCCCAGGATCCAGAAGTGGACCATCCTCCACTACAGTCCGTTCAAGGCTGTGTGGGACTGGGTCATTCTCCTCTTAGTCATTTATACAGCGATTTTCACCCCGTACTCTGCCACATTTCTACTGAGGTTGGTGGAAACTCACACAACAGTGATGCTTCCCTGACCCACATGAGTTAACTGTGAAGATGTAAGGTTTCTACTGCTGACCTCTAAACTACTGCTAACTGTAAGGAAGTACTTTAACTATACTTTAAGTATAGTAGATTTTGTTTTGAGTATCTGTACTTTACCTGAGTATTATTTTTTGGGAAACATATGACTTTTACTTCCCTAGATTTCTATTATGTGCTCTTATCTTGAAGCAGCTTTTAGTCTGTGGAATTTATTTTATTTTATTTTGAAAATGTGAGGAATGTGAGGAAAAGACAATCACAGCCATCTCCCCCACTGTCAGTCACGTTCGAACCTGTCAGTGTCCTAACGGTGGCGACGTTAGATAAAGGTGAAGCAGGAGATTCTTCACCAGAGAGACTGATCTGAGGTCTGTGTTTGAGGGTTTAGAAATACACAAAGATTCCTTTTCATTTTAAATGTTTGCTGCGTCAAACGACCAAACTTCATCACTGTCTACAAAAAAAGGAAATATCTCTGTCGTTGTCGTTTGTTTCAGATTCATTTGGTTTTAAGGTCATTTATATCGTATTCTACCAGCTTTTTATTCTACAGGTTCTACAGTCAGGGCTTAAGCAGGTGGTACAGGATCTTTATTTCACATCATTGATGAATTGTTTAGAAATATATAATGCATATAAAACTAACACTATAACAATTTAAAATATTAGAGAAGCTGCCAAAGTGTGTTAATGTAGAAGATGAACTTTATATTATGTGTTATATACTGTGTGTGCCTCTATATATTCCCTGCTGTCCTTTGTCTTTAATCCTGAACCGCTGTCGTGTTTTTTTTCTTCAGTGGTTGTTTCATTTTCTCGTTGATGAATGAATTGGTGTGTTTTCCTTCAGCGACCAGCAGGAGGCAGCCATGCAGACCTGCGGTTACTCCTGCTCTCCCCTCAACGTGGTGGATCTTATAGTGGACATCATGTTCATTGTTGACATCATCATCAACTTCAGGACCACATACGTTAACTCCAACGACGAGGTGAACTGATCTGACTGTCTGATCAAATGACTGAAAATGAAAAGTGAATGAAAAGTTAAGACTTAGCTCCTACTCTCTCCCTCACTGTACATTTATGAAAACACGATGATGCCGTTTGTGCTTCGTCTCCTTCAGGTGGTGAGCCAGTCTTCACGGATCGCAGTCCACTACTTCAAAGGCTGGTTCCTCATCGACATGGTGGCGGCCATTCCCTTCGACCTCCTCATCTACCGCTCAGGAGAGGAGGTGGTTAGGGGAGGAGGAGAGGGAGAGGTAGGGAGGAGGGAGGGAAAGAAGAAGAAGATGAGGGAGGGGTAGGAACTGGGATGGTAGAGAGGAAAGACGAGGAAAACAAGGAGTAAGAGAGAAAAGAGGAGAGAGAACTTATATCGCTGCTCTCTCTCTCTCCTCCTGCTAACAGACCACCACGCTGATTGGTTTACTGAAGACAGCTCGGTTACTGCGATTGGTTCGTGTAGCCAGGAAGTTGGACCGTTACTCGGAGTATGGCGCTGCCGTCCTCTTCCTCCTCATGTGCTCCTTCGCCCTCATCGCCCACTGGCTGGCCTGCATCTGGTGCATTACTTTAACCTGTAGCACATGTAACTTACACCCAAACTTTATTAAGAACACGTGCTGCTGTTTTAAGCTTCTTCTTTTTTTTTCAAGCACAGGATGTTTGTCCTCTTACCCCAGGTACGCCATAGGTAATGTGGACCGGTCAGCCTCGGCGGGGATCGGCTGGTTGGACACTCTGGGCGATCAGCTGGGGAAGCCGTACAACGACTCCATCACGGAGTCTGGTCCCTCCATCAGAGATAAATATGTCACAGCTCTGTACTTCACCTTCAGCAGTCTGACCAGCGTCGGCTTCGGAAATGTCTCGCCGAACACCAACTCTGAGAAGATCTTCTCCATCTGTGTCATGCTCATCGGCGGTACGTCCTAAACACACACGTCAGGAAAGCTGAACTGAAAGAACAGATTCTGAAGGCAGTGCTGATTATTTTTGACTCGAAGCTTTCAGTAGTTCAGTCAGAGACACTCACGTCAAGGAAATGACCTTTTATAACAAACAACACAAATGTAGCTCATCAGGAGGAGGCTGAGGAGGTGAAGGGAACTACAGCTGCAGGCCAATATACAATATATATGTATTTATATATATATATATATGTATTATACCAACTAGTAGTAAGAAAGATGTCTTTACAGACTATTATTAATGAACACAATATCTACTGTGATACAAACAAACAGAGGATGGAGAGTTTCTCAGAACAAGTTTGCTAGCACGGTGGATTTATTTGGTTGGAAGCTAATGTTAGCTTTTTCCTGTTAGCTTAGCTACAAACCTTCTTTCCCTCCTCTGTGACTGTAGTTTTGTAAAAACAATCCAAACAACCACCTTTCACTAGTTTCTCCTCCACTGTGTTTTGAAGGCAACGTGTGTGTTTTCATTTTTGTTTGATGTTTTATATTTAAAGCTTGTCTCGCTTCAGCTGTGTTAAAAGAGTTTCCACAAACATGCCATATAAGACGCTCTCTGCCTTTGTGCCGTTGCCTTGGGAATTAAATTGGGGGCAGAGCTCCTGAATGAGCAAGGAATTGAAGGGTGTATTTGTTTTGCTGTTGAATTCAAATATCAAATAATAATATTTCTCCAGCATCATTTATCATTTACTCTACCATCATTTGTTGGTTTCTTGTTCTCTGGTTTCTAATGAACCACTAGATGATCAACTGTTAACTTCCTTGATTGAATCGAAGGCGAACGACATAAAGTCTCTGTTTGCGTCTCTTCTCCAGCTTTGATGTACGCCAGTATTTTCGGTAACGTGTCGGCCATCATCCAGCGGCTTTACTCTGGTACAGCGCGCTACCACGCCCAGATGATGAAAGTCCGAGAGTTCATCCGCTTCCACCAGATCCCCAACCCTCTGAAGCAGCGGCTGGAGGAATACTTCCAACACGCGTGGTCATACACGAATGGGATAGACATGAACGCTGTGAGTATGTGTTATCTAACAATGTCTCTGTCAGCCATATTGGAAGTTCTCAGCTCTCTGGCTCAGCCGTCTCAACAGAATTAAAAAGAAATGGTTATAATTGCTCTGTTGTTTTTATCTGATTTCTGATTATTTTCACCATGAATATAATGATTAATGTTCAGACAATATGTTCAGGTAATATTCTGCTCAGGGCTGATGATTTGGGGTGAATTGGTCGACAAGGATCCATAAAACATCAGTAACAAAGATGCAGCCAATCCAACTGTGTCGTCTCTCTGTGTCCTCCTTTCCTACGAACTCCTCCAGGTTTTAAAAGGTTTCCCAGAGTGTCTCCAGGCAGATATCTGTCTCCACCTCAACAGGTCGCTGCTGCAGAACTGTAAGGCTTTCAAAGGTAAAGCTGTTGCATGTTTTATACACATGAAAAGTGTTTACTAGTGTCTCTGGATCTGCATTATAACGAGATGTTTAAATTGTGACACTTTTTAATTACGTGTGATTTAAATAAGTTTAAATACAAGGATTAATAATATGTAATAATCCACATTTTGAATACAGGCAGTATGAACTAAAATGTATGATAGTAGAGACTTGAAGTAAAGTACTGAATACAAGGTTCTTGTAGCATCTGACCAGCACATTGTGTTCTGGTGTCTAGGATCCACTAAGGGCTGTCTGAGAGCCCTAGCCATGAAGTTTAAGACCACCCACGCTCCTCCTGGCGACACCCTCGTCCATGCCGGAGACCTGATATCGGACCTGTACTTCATCTCCAGAGGATCCATAGAGATCCTCAGAGGAGACATGGTGGTAGCCATACTGGGTAGGTGCTTGTAGTGAGCCTCGGGTCGTGGCTCCGTCTCGTGGTCGATGTAAGACTTGAGCAGAGGCAGTAATGCCTCTAATCGCAATAAAAGAGCGTGTCAGGATCGCTATTTGTCGTCATGACGACGTCTTCTTCTCCTCCAGGTAAGAACGATATCTTCGGGGAACCGATCAATCTGTACGTGCTGCCAGGAAAATCCAGGGCTGATGTCAGAGCTCTGACCTACTGTGACCTGCACAAGATAAACAGAGAGGATATGCTGGAGGTAACATACACACTCACTGAGCTCTTTATTAGGAACACCATACTGACACATGCTTGAAGCAGATACAGTAGAAGATGGTGAACTGATGAACCAGCAACAACACTATAGATAGACTGTGACGTCCAGACATGATTGGTTAGTGTAAAGAAGAAAACATTCTCCACACCAGCAGCAGCCGCCTGGACTGTGCAGCCTCAGGTTTCTGTTCCTTGCTGACAGGAAGTGGAACCTGACGTGGTCTTCTGCTGGTTTCGGTCGGACGTGTTGTTCACTCTCGAGCTTCTGTGCTCAGGAGTGGTTATCTGAGTGACCGTAGCCTTTCTGTCGGCACTCACCAGTCTGTCCATTCTCCTCTGACCAACAAGGTGTTTCCATCCTGCTGTTCACCTCCTGAGTAAAGACTCAAACCAGCGTCTGACACCAACCATCACGTCACAGTCAAAGTCACTGGTTTCACATTTTTCTGCTGTGTGACGTGAACATTAACTGAAACTCCCGACCTGTATCTGCACGACTTTATACACTGAACTGCTGCCACATGATTGGCTGATGATTGGATAATTGAATGAATATATATATATATATATATATTCTTTTCTTTGTGTTTTCAGGTTCTGGACATGTATCCTGAATTCTATGAATCTTTCTGGTCCAACTTGGAGATCACCTTCAGTCTCAGAGATGTATACTACTCATGTTCAAGCTCCTCTAGTTCTGATGGAGTATACTGCCGCCTTAAGTTTGTTTTTATATACATTAAAAAAAAGGAAATATCAAACATACTTTGTCACTCTGGACCACTATCTTAAATGGATCATTTCACAAACAAATTGTTGAATTAAATGTCACTTTATCAATAGTAAATAAATCCTCTTCTCTGTACCGTCACATGTTCTTGCAGGAGAATAATGAAGCTGAGGATCTTCTGAGTGGAGACGGCTCTGATTGTGACGGGTTGAGCCGACCTCAGACGAAACACAAACTCTCTTCCACTCACACAGGTAGCACTTCACAAACACTACAGTGTCTTTACAGAGCTGTGGAGACACAATGATGTGAGATGTGAGCAGTTTGTTCTGGTCCAAATCAGTCGATGAAGTTTGTAAACTTGGAGCGATTTCCCTTCGGTTCAGTTTCTTTTCACACGGAGAAATATCCAAGCGACCCAAAATACAATCACTACAAAACCACACGAGAATGTTATTGTTCAGATGTGTCCAAGCAAGAGAGTAAATACAGGAAGAAGGTGTTCTGTGTTCTGGACTGTCAGTGAGAGACACTATCTGTGGACTGTCTTGTCAGGTGACACCATCTCCACAAAGAGACAGAACGCTGCCCGCAGACGCAGAAGAAGACACAGTAACTGGGAGCAACGTGACCGAGGCCACAGCAAAGACGATCATAAACATACACTGTAAGACTACAAATAAAACAGACATTAACAAAATCCTATACTTTACAAAAACACAACTCTGAGCTAACTGCCTCTGTAGATATGTCCACGTGTTCTCCAGTGAGGAAGAAGAGGAGGATTCAGAGGTGACCAGCTCTGCTCAGACGTCCGTACTTCATGCTGCTGCCACAAACACCACCAGCAGAGAGAGGAGCTGGAACCCTGTAACAGGCAGGTGTAACGATGCATTCAAGGCACAGAAGATAAATGAGATGGCGCCACCTGGTGTCTGCGTCTCACAATGTACCTGTGTATGTATGTGTGTGTGTCCAGGAGCGTCCAACATCTTTACACTCTGGGGCTCAGAGAGTCGAGAGGGACACATGTACCAGGAGGTGCCCTGCCCCCACAGCCTCCCCTCACCACCTCCTCAGCCTCCATCTCTCCAGCTCCCTCACCTGCCCTCCTCCAGCCCTCCTCCTCCTCCTCCTACCACCACCATCATCTCTCGGAGGCAGGAGGTGGAGTTAGAGAACAGGCTGGAGGCACTGCAGCAACAGATCATCAGGTGGGTCACAGGGTTTTATCTCTCTCTTCATCAGCAGTGGAAATGATGTTACGTTACAATACCAGAAATATAACAGCCTCAGCTCCAGGTGCCAGGGTTGGGTGATGGTAAAAGTTTGGGTAAATATGAACACTGCAGCAAACCCACATTAAAACCTGAGCCTTACTTCAACAGGTTTTTATTTCATGAGGAGGTGAAAGCAGAGCAGCGAGGTGTGGCTGTAGATAATCTACGTCACGCTTTGTTAACAGCTGTAACCATGAAAGGTTTTTCAGTTTTCCAAACATCTGGTCTGCACCTCTGACAGGCTTCTTTTCCATAGCAATGGCACCAGTGGCTCATGGGTATTGTCGTAAGAGACGAAGCATGACTTTCAGAAACCAAGTTGAAAATCCGATGGCTGAAACAAAAAACCAGTTACGTCATCCAGGAGAGTCCTGTGTTTCTGTGTCATGACACATTTTATCACGAGGATATGATATTATATAAGATATATAATATTATTATTATAACAATATTATGTAAGAAACATTGAAATGGGAATTCAGAATGAGAATTCACACCTCTTTAGAGAATCTTTAAATCTCTTTAACACTCACTTCTCAGCACTGTAGCTCTATGAACTAATCTACATCTGTGTATTTGGGTGTGTGTGTTTTCCAGGTTGGAGTGTTGTATGTCAGCACACATCGGGACCATCATGCAGCTGCTGCAGAGGCAGATGCCAGTAATCCCGCCTTCCTACAGCACCCTGACATCAACACCTAACACACCCTCCTCCCCCGCTCTCTCACCCGCTATTGCCTCCCCATCTGGCACCACCCCCACCCCAACGACTGTTTTCCCCACAGACACAGACAAGTTACCGACCACCGACCCGCAGCAACGGCAGCCAAGTGAAAACCAAGATCAAGTCCCTCAACAACCTCCAGAATCTAATTCCCTCAGTTATAATTCCTCAGTCCTCCATCTCACTGCCTCACCCCCCCTCATCCATGCATCACCCCTTCACACGTCTTCATATTAGTCACTGTTTTCTCCCCCCGTCTTACCCTCCAAATCATCTCCACCTCTCCACCCACTCTTCAAAACTCCACCCAGGCTTCGTCCTCTGTACTTCCTCAGACAGGTGTGTCAGCGTGCCTCTCTTACATTCACCGTCCCCACCCTCCCCCCACAGCCCTCTGCCTCACAGATACTATAAACCTTACTGTGGCATGTTGAATGATCGTGAGTCTGAACTTCACAGGAGAACGGGAGAGAGAGAAAAGATATTCAGCTTAGTCTCAGACTTCCAATTTTTTTAAATTTAATTCTCAGCAAAAAAAAAAGGAATCAGAATTATGAGAAAACATCAAGAGTCAATAAAATCATGAGGTCCAAGTCAAGAATTATATTTTTTACTAATACTGACCTCTTACCTTTGCAAGGTGTGTTCAGAGATCTATCCTCCAGATGTCCTTTGACTTTCCTCCCTGTCTCACCCTCTTCTCACCTGGTCTGTTTGCTTGTCTCCTCCTCTCTCTGCTCACATATACAGTATTTAAATTCAGCCCAATTTACAATTAAGCTATTCTCATTTACATGTTTCTTTTCTATTTATCTGTATTTTTTTTTTGAATAAATTAGTTAATTCAGATTTTGGGTTTTTGGTTTTGGTTAATTTTCTCTTTTTACACAAACACACACACACACACACACACACACACACACACACACACACATACACACACATATATATATATATATTTTATGCAGATATGGATTGTAGCAGGGGTGAACTGAAACAATAATTCAGGCCAAGATTTTGACTCCATGCCAGGTCACCTGTTCATGCAAACCACCAGACCGCTAATGTTGTAGGCTAACCCTGTTTGTCAATGTAATGGGCTACTAGATTAGTTATAATTTTGGCCGCTATGTCCATCTCTGAGGAAAATTATCCAGATCACCAATTAGCTGGAATCAGACAATCCCCATACTGAGTTTTCAAGGTGTGTTACGGGTGAACTCACAAAAACTCACTAGAAAGAAACCAATCATAGCACATTCAAATGCACAAGGTTGGGCTACAGGTTCTGTAACTTAATTTCTTACAACGTTAACGTAGCGCACGTGACTTGTTGCCGATTATTTGATGAAATACAACAGCTTTAAAGAAGACTCTCGCGTGCTCTTACTTTGAAAAGCGGAAATGGCGGCGTCAGAAAGCGATCACTTGTTTACAATACAATACAATACAATTGATACAATCAATTTTCGTTCAGACCGGCAGATTTGTCTCAAAATCTGTGTAAAATGTAAATCCACAAGCGAAGAGAAAAGAAAATTGATTCAAAAATGTTTGTTTGAAAGTTGTAAATATTAGGAAGATATTCACTAATGCTTTTAATTTATTAAAATTAATTGAATGTATTCACAGACATGTTTTTATTCGTGAAATTTGTTTGCAGATCCGTTTTATATTTGCAAGATATTTTAGTGAGGTTACAAATGTATTTTTCGTATTTGTATTTGTGGAAGGTGTTTTATATTAACAGATCACACATTTACTCACTGATTGTCTGTAGACAATTACTGTGGGTTACCTAGGTTACTGTAGATTCTACATCTATACATAAGCTTCGTGCATTAAATAGTTTTTTTCCATGATTAGATGTTCCATGCTTGCACCATTGCCACTCCTACAAATATTACTGCATTTAAGAAGCACAACTGAAAACTCCCTTTAATAATTCACTTCATACACCAGGAACAATATTAGGACTTTAGTTGAAAAAAAAAAGTAAGATCAGTTTTGGCCAGCTGGACTCTTCCAGAGCAACGATTCACTGTGTAAACGTGGGAGTTGGTAAAAGAACCAAAAAAACTAGTCGACAAACAACTCTAACAAACGAAATAAGTCCAACAGAATTTTAAGTACGTGTTTTTCGTGGATGTGGGCACAGGTCTGCTCAGTAAATTAATTGTGGCTTAGTTGCTTGGGTTACGTATGAAAAATGCCACCCTGAACTGACCCCTCTGTATATTTATTTCAGTAAAGAACGACGTATTCATACATATTGTGAAGTTTCCGAGGATACCCTGAAGGCATCATACTGTAGCGTGGCGAGGGCGGTTCGTGTGACGTAGAGCGCAGGCTTTGGCTGTTTATTGTTCCTGCCTCAGCACGGACAGAGAAAACGGGCTAAGAAGCTGCCAGCTACCTTTTTTTCACACGGTTAACGGTTGGTTTAACGAGGGTGTAACGGTCGAGACAACTGACTGCACAAACCAGGGGCCATGGCGTATGCGTACCTCTTCAAATACATCATCATCGGAGACACAGGTAAACTGCAGCAAGTGCCAGCTACACTCCCAGTTAGCATTCAACTAGCTTTTAGCTGTTAGCTAGCGGAGCATTTCCGCAGTGTTGGTTGGTCCAATGACGTGGTAAAAGCAGAGACGCAAGAAGTGGGATGACAGCTCCAATTCTTCACCGTTATCAAATTTGTATTGTATCTAAAGTACCCTGACAGTGACAGAAAATTACACACAGACACCATAACAAAAACTTTTACTATACTACTTTAGCATGGTAGTTGTTGACACTGGCAGATGTATGTCGGGCCTTTTGTCCGTTTGTGGCGAGGGTGGGGGTGTTAGCCACAGCTAACAAGCCCAGCTAACTGCCTAGCTAGCGTTTGCTATTTCACTAAATATTTAGCAAACAGCTGTCACGACTGTAGATTAACGATCAATTAGATCTCTATACACGACACTGATGATTATTACATGCATTTCTTATTTTTGTGGTTGCATCATCAAATAACACAGCTTACATTAGCTAAGCTTCTTGTCAGAAAAGGCCAAAACGTCAAGCTAAAGCCTCCAATATTCCTTGAAATGGCGTAGAGCAGTTGTTATTTCTGACCAGATTTCTGTTGCACGAATTGGACAGTGTGTTGACGTTTCTGTTCTGTACTTTTTACAGGATTGTACCTTTTTCTTTCGTCCAGGTCATTATGTGGAAAAGCATTGAGTAGTAGTTAATGTTGTCATCTGTTTATTTTCAGCTAGCTGTCCTGATGAGGGGCATGCTCTGTTAACTTGCAGTGTGGCAGCAGGTGCATTTCAAATGCTGCTGTAAGGGCTGTCATCTGAGCTACAGTGAGAAATGTAAGGGGATAATATAATGCAAGGAGCCACAAAAACAAAAACCTTGAGCCAAATATACAGTCAGGACAAACAGGTGAAGGAAGGACCAATGTAGATGTTATTAATTTTCCATGCAGTGTTTTATACATCATTAGTACAGAAGAGTAAAGCAAGAAAAACTATTTTGACGGAAGTTAATAAACATGTTGGTAAAAGATTCAGAGGGTTTCCATGGGTCCTTGATATCCTTGAAAGTTTGTCAATTTGAGAGAGAAAACCAAGGCCTTGAAAGTTTTTGAAAATAGACATTGGTCAATGAAAGTGCTTTGAGTTATATATTCTGTGCAAAAATAGAAATTTAAGTTTTTTTTTAAATATTTTTGTTTTTTTAATGTAAGTAAATAGACTGTGTTGCGGTCTGCATATGTGCAAGAGACTATATAGTCTGCAGTCACTGTAGCCATCACAGTTGAGCAGTGTTCACATGTTCAAGCCCCTCTCTTTTTTAATGGTTGTATGTGAGCTTTTGTAAAGCCTGCTAGCTTGCATTATAAAAAGTTATTAACCTTGATCCAGGTCTCAAACGGTGCTGTGAATTTGAGGGAATTTGGTCTAGAAAGTCCTTGAATTTGTTGTTTGAGAAGGTGTGGAAACCCTGTTGACAGTATACATGTGTTAATTTGCTTTACATGATCACTGATGGGCTGCTTGTTTACTTCTGGGTTATTGCGAAAGAGGTTCGTGGTTTGCCTGCTGTTGCTGTTTATCTCAAGTAGTGTCTGCTGAAGCCAAGGTCCTAGCTTGATTACATGTATGTCTACACCAGAAATAGTCTATAAAGTTCCTTGTGCATCGAAGCAGTGTTTATTTGTCAAATTTTGTCAAGTATGGCAAAATGTAGAAATGATAATTGCATTAAGTTTGACCATCCTAGGTACACTGTGACACTGGAAGGCTATGCCAAAAAAGACAGATGTTGTGATTGTGACGAGTCATGATTTTAGTGGGAATGTTGTTTTGTAATTTCATTTTCGTTGAAAAACATATAAAGATGATGATGTTCTGTTTTTTTTCCTGGGGTCTATCAAACAAGCGTGTTGCCTCATGTGTGGAGAATATGATTTGTAGGCTCTGTAGCCCCATGATGCTTCATTTATAATGGTATGTTCTGACACATATTACCTTTATCCAGAAATTGCAGCTCCTGTGATTTGGATATTGCACTTGGCCACACTGCGATTTCAATAATACTTGAATGAATTGTTCAGCCCCAGGTCGGTATGTGACCAGTAACATTACAACTGCTCATAAGTATTACTGTAGACTGCCAGAGAATCCCATACCCTCCTCTGTTGTACTGAAGTGCTTCCACAAGCGACGGTGCCACATGAGGCCCTTAAACAGACCTAAACATGCATGTATCCAGGATTTTTGTTTGGTGTCGCAAATATAATTGTCAACAGCACTTAACCTTTGACATCATAGGTCCTGTTATGTTTGTTGAATGAAAAGAAAGAAGAGAAGGAAGGAAAGAAAGAGAGCTGTTACAGACATACAGCTGTTGATCAAAACAGCCATTTCTATCCTGTCGCAGGAGGATTTTACTAATTTGGGGGAGTGTTTGGGAGCCTGTGTGATCCCTGAAGCTCCCTAACCTTACCTTGTCAAGTTGCCAAGAAAAGGTTTGTTGTTAAGATCAGGGACGTGGTGATAATTCACATAACTGCACGTCTTGATCTTAGTAAAGACGAGGTTATAATAAAGTTTTATTCTGAATGTTTTCGGTCCTTTGTAGAGGAGCCAGTTTGTGATATAACTTGACCTAACCCCACACTGTTTGGCTGTGATCCGTCTGCCCATGAATCATACTGGACCAAAAAAAAAAGAAAAAGAAAACCAAAGGAAACATTTTTTTCCCAGCTGTAACCGAATCTTTGCCGTTACATTCCAGATCCACATCGTCAGTTCTTTCACATGAGCAACATCGTCTCAACAATAATCATTTCTGTATCTGTATTTTAAAGAAGAAGTGGGGCTGGGAGTGTATCCAACTCCCAGTTTCTTAAATGTTGATAATGAAACCATCAGTCCAGCAAATCTGCAACTTTTAAAATTACAAGACCCGCAGCTGCAGGTGTGCAAATATCTGAAGGGGGCAGTTTTGTTGGGGGATGTTTGCTGATGCTGCATGATATGATTTTCGATCAACAAACAGATCAACAGTCACGCTGGTTGAAATTAGACATGTATAGAAGATAAATAGAGAGATCATATTGAGCAGGAAACTCGCCTGAACATATGAGCATTATTTTATGTTTTGACACGACTGTGCGATGCGAGTTGGTTCTGGTGATAAATTGTGTTTAGTGATATTATTTGTCTAGTTGTTTGCTAACCTGAACAAGCAGTCAGTCAGGTTCTGTTAAACACCAGACTAATCCTTTAACTTGATGAAGTCAACTATTTGCATCAAATCTTTGAAGCTGTAACCAAGAAATCTTTGGAAGTTTCATTATAATTGACTAAAACTTTAAGGTAATTAGAATAGATTATTTTTGACTAATAGTTTATTCATGCTACTAATACTTAACAGTTTACTAAAAAATAATAGTTTGAGCATTGATCCTCTGTATATTGTACATCATCATTTAAAGTAATATACTTGTGGAAAAGAACTAGTGTATATAAATAAAAAGACGTGTTAACATTTGTAAACTAAACGGCCTCCTACCAACTTTTGCTCTCAAGGTGCAACTGCAGAAACGCTGCAGGCTTTTACAATTTACTATTATTTAGATTAATTCCTTTTATGAAGTATCTATTGTTGTTTATATTGTGTTTTTATTTTGCCCTTTTGCACCCACACATCAGCTGTCAGCTCCTTATTCTGCAGACTAATGGAGAATCACCTGTTACTTTGATCAGCCAGGTGTTATCTGCCCTTCATTATCTGATGCTTTTCATAGCCTACAGTAGTTTGACATATTGCAGTTGGGTGTGTCTGTTTGTACCCTAGTAACTGCCATGTAGAGTCATGGTACACCAAAGCAAATAACTGTACATCCGAATGTAATAAGACCAGCAGCCTCGACCAGAAAAACCTGCGGTCTCCAGGCTGGTCCAGCTGATCACCGAGCTCATGCTTCATGACACAGACTCCCTCGTTTCCCCTCAAGGTCACAGTCTAACCCTAACCTGCTCCATAGCAACTGTTGTCCACATACGTCTGTCTGCGTGATGTGCTGTTGTGAGAGATGCTGACGTGATTTTCGGTTCGCTAGTCGTCCGACAGGACTAGTTGGATCATTTGGTTTAACCAGTTGGCTTAGATCTGTGGTGATCATTACCACGCCGCACTCAGAGAACGAGGAAGACACGCCAGCTCCAGCAAGTCAGTTATGTTGATGAATTTTTAAAGGTTTAATGCACAGGCAACATTTTGAGACACAGTTCTTTCTTTATTTGTATCTAAGCCACTAGTTTAATACAGTTCTGTTCCCAGTGCCATTTCCAAACCAGTTCTTGTACAGCTTTGATTAGGTTCTTACACTGAGCAGGTGAGTCTTTGTGACAGGTGATTATAACCGGGAACTCCTTTTCATGTCACTGTTTTCTGGTAATTATAAAAACATAAATTTATTCCTTTTAAACAGAAGTTACCAAAAGGGTTTTCTCAGATTGCTCGAGATTTACCTTCAATGTACCACGTCAGTGTTATTTTTGGATCCCACATCAACTCCGTTCTTAAGGAAGGATGTTTTAACCATTTATGCATTAGCTTTAGCTATCCATCTCAACTTTTGCCTCATCCTGCCTCAGGTTTGCTCGCGTACAGGCAGGTCTCTCGTCCCGCTGTCCTGGACTGCAGCAGCTGATGGTGGTTCTTGTTCTGCTCCAGTGGAGAACTGGTCCGTGCTTGGCAAGGCTGCAGAGCAGAACAAGGTCTGCTGCTGCCAGCTGCAGGTAGCGGGCTAGCTGTTGAGCTGTTGACCATTTGAACTTTGAATTTAAATACGTAAATATAGAAACTGTTAACGAAGTAATCTGTACGATTCATCTGAAAAGTAGATCATATCACCATATAAGACGTTTGAGCGCACTAATGATGTTTGCAACACAAAGCACCGCTCTTTACTTTTCTCTTTATTGCTAAAACGACACTTAACGCGTAACCTTTATATTTTATCTATATATCATTGCCACATCGGCCTGGGTTTGAATCTGGCCTGGGATCTTTGCTGTATGAGTATTCAATTAATCAATTAACTGATTGACTGACAAACAAAAACTGTCGGCAACTATCAGTGATTAATAATTTTTTTTTTTTTTTTAAGAAAAACTGGGGAAATTCTCTGGTTCAAGCTTTTCAAAACTTGGATTGTTGTTGGACAAAACACTGACATTTCAAGATGTCACCTTGGGTTCTGGGAAATTGTCCTTCAGGCATTTTCACCCTTTTCTGACATTTTTTTTTTTTAGACAAAACAATTCAAGAAAATAATTGACGGCTTAATTGTTACTGAAAATATTCTGAAATTGCAGCCCTGCATTTTTTTTAATCAGCCTTCACGTTCTCCCCTGAAATGACTCTGTACAGCAGCATTGTTCCATGGAACCCAGTCACCTGGCGGGCCTTTTGCTTTGTGATAGCCCAGCGGGTTCTTCACACACTTCACCTGAATTACCTCTGCGTGAGAAGAGCTTCTGGTTCGGTGTCGTTATTACCTCAAGCAGCAGCCGGAGGAAAGACCTCGCGCTGTAACGTATTACACAAAGTTCTCCTCTAATTATGACTCTGATTATAGCCACTCTCACCATCTGATGCACAGCGGGGTTTGATTGTGGGCTGTTATAGATACTTTGCTCACGCTGTTTCCCACAGGTGTCACACTGTCACCTCTTGTCTAGAAATAGGAGGTTATGCTGTGCTGGAATTATATGTTAATTGTATTGTGACTAATTTAGCTAATTGGAAAAAGTAAAGCAAATAGAAGCGAAATTCCTTCATGATTCCTGTGTGTTTGCTGCGGAGCGATGGTGGGAGAAAAGTGAAGCGTGTTGTAAACAGGTGTCTGTTGACCCGCACGCTCAGGTGTGATGGAGGAGACCGTGACGTGAATGTAACGTGTCTATATAGCTGCCCTCCTTGTGATCCCTCTATCCTTCCACCCATCACTTATGATCATCATCACACAATTCCTGCCTAGCAACGGCAATGCCTGGCAGCGGTAACCCTTGGAAACCACAAAGGAGAAGACCATGTCCCTCTCTGTCACCTCATTGACTCTCTGTCAGTTTCTCTTCCTGTCCATCCTCTTCTCTCCTTCACCATAAATCCCCTAACCCTGCCTCAGAGTCGAACCTGCATCTCCTCTGTGTGAACCACAGACTCTGAGCCTGAAGCACTTTTATATTCGGTTGAAGTGAAGATGATTCACTCTCATTTTTACAAACAAATAGACAGTGAGTCATTATTTCTCGTGCAGTCTCAGTGCAGTACGTTAGAGGTAAACACGGGGCAGTCCGTAGCAGTATTTAGTGTTTTGATAAATGCATCAGGAGTGAATTTGTTGCTGGTGGATTATTTTTCTTCTGGTTAAAATCTGTTTGTTGATGTAAATTAGTTCGTCTTTGCTTCTTGTAACAGTTGTTGTTGTTGTTGAATGTACATTAGCAGAGTTATTACCTTCATGAAGGAGGTTATGTTTTTACCCACGTCTGTTTGTCAGCAGGATTATGCAAATAGCACTGAACCGATTTGCACCAAACTTGGTGGAGGGACGGGGCACCGGCCGGGGAAGAGCCCATTACCATGTGGTGCTGATACATGAGAGTAGTTTCAGCATCTTCGTTAATCTTGATGTAAATGTTCATGGTGTTCAGATCTGACTTTGTTTCAAATATTACAGATTTTACAGTTACTGATTTAAGTTATCAGTTGTTTTTTCAATTCATCAATCAATTGTTCAGTCTATAGTGAACAATAAAATGAATGTATCTTATACATACGGAGGCTGAGAAAGGCCACACTCCATAGATAACAAAGCTTGTTATTCCAAACAAAGCTTGTTTATTTCATTATAATGACTTTGTTAATTGGAGATCAGATGCAGACGGAAACTTCTAGAGCTGTACAGTTAAAATGTCAGGATGACGCATTGATCAACGCATTGATCAACGCATTGATCAACGCATTGATCAACGCATCAGACAACATTTCAATCAAGGGCAGATTCAGACCTCGTCAGCTAATGAGTTGCTAAGGATTGTTGCTAAGGAGGAGTGTTACTGTGTTACTGCGACTTAGTGTTTGAGGCTTTGTCAAAATCGTTTTCTCTCGGTAATATCTTGGGATAACGAGCTTCCTGTTATCTTGAGATAACGGCACAAAAAAAATATTTGTGGCTTCCATAGTTACATTTATAAATGGAATAATTATATTTCGTTCACAGCAGAGAAACGAAAACAGAAAATGTTTGAATGTTTGTTTAATCAATTATCAAAATAGTTTCATATTTCTGTTGCTCAGCTTGTTGTTTCACTCCCCCCCCCCCAACTGTGTTTGCACCAACAAGACTGAACAGCTGAAGCCAAACTGCTTCCGACTGAGCTTCAGAAATTTTTTGTACAGGACGGTGGATTTCACTAGATTTTCATTAGAAATGGATCTTTAATCTGAAAACACAAACAAAAAAATAATTACACTGACCAATGACTCAAAAGTCAAGTATTCAAATGTAAAAATATAAAGGATATTGTACGATTAATGTCTAAAAGTGTATTATAGAAAACTATAACACTGTTTCATGTTTGGGAATCAGATTACATGTCCTGAAAAAGAAAATGTTGTGTAGAGTTCACCTGCATACGCTGCCGGAGGATGAACACTAAGACGGTGGAGCAGCTGCATCAAACCTGTTTAGTGTGTTTGTTTTTAGCACATGTGAACTTACTGTTTTTGATCTAAAGGCTTGCAAGAAAATGTTTCCTCTGTTGACGTACAGCATTTCCATATAATTTCATAATGCTATTAAAATTAGTTTTGACTCGATAATTAAATTTAATGATCCACAGCATTTTGTTTTTAACTGAATTACTAAAACTATTAAAAACCAAACATTGAAAGTTAAAGAAATGAATCCTGACACCACACGGTTGTGAGCTCAGACCATCTGAGGGTGTTTGTGGATCTGAGATCATAACGTGGTGTTAATAATGAGCAGATTCACTGGGACCCTTTTTGGAAAAACAGCAGTGAACACAACACGTAACAAAGACGCCAGCCGGTCAGTTCGCTCAAGTCATCTGAGCTGACTCATGTTGGAGAAGCAGTGTGGAAGCTTCCTGCTGGGGGTGTTTGGACTGGATGATGACTCTGATATTCCCACATTAAACATTAATTAATTATATGTAAGAAGTGATAATTACTGTTGTACATTTGTAACTTCCTGCAGAGTGTTGTCTCTCGGCGCCGTGTGGGCGGCCAGAGCTCAGGAATGCGATTTTATAACCATGTTGTGGTGTTTTATTCTCAGTGTGTGTGTGTGTGTGTGTGTGTGTGTGTGTGTGTGTGTGTGTGTGTGTGTGGCTATAATGCTCTCTCTCTGACGTTGTGTGTTTTGTCTTTCAGGTGTGGGAAAGTCATGTCTATTACTACAGTTCACAGACAAGAGATTTCAGCCAGTTCACGACCTCACCATTGGTAAGACATAATCATAACATGATCGGAAATGTATTAATGTTTAATAAATGAAAGACAGAGAGCAGTGAATGTCAGGGTTTATCTGTAGTTAATTGTTTTTTTAAATTCTGTTTTATTAATGAGGATAAACAGATTGTTGTGATTGTTCTGCTTAATTATGAGGGTTCCAACCGGATGATAATTAACTTTGCTTTGGTTTATTATTTGCTTCAATCATCGTTATCGCAATAATTAACACAAATTCAACCAAATTCCAAATTCCCCGTGAAATTACTGCAACTTTTCCGCAAATCTGACCTATTATCATAGTTTCCTGCAAGTTGAACCAATCACAGCAGTCCCTGATCAAATCCTTGATGATGTCACCAAACTCACTTCCTTGTTTGTGGTGTTGAAGCATGTTGTGAAGCTGCAGACGTGTGTGACATCACTGTTAAAGACCATGTGAAGACGCTCAAACATGTCTGACATGAAAGGGTTAAAGAGTTTTGTGGCGCTGCAACATGGTGGAGGAACCACAGGTGTAGAGCTGCCGGAGCCTCCGCAACGACGCTCCACTACGTTTATTCTCCAGAGGAAATAAAATATCAACAGTCACATGATCACGTTTATTTATCTACGTTTGAAGAAGCTGAAGATCCGATCATCACTGAAGAGTCTGTCATGGAGAGAGCTGAGAAAAACACATGGTCACAGTCATGTTGACATTTAAGGTGTAATGGAAAAGAAAAACTAAACTAAAAACATCGCAACATTCATCCCAACTTTAAAGAAAAGCTTCTGTGAAATCAGGTATTTTAGCTGCAACAATCCCAAATCCTGGAGGGACTGACCAAAGAGTTTATGTACAGACACAAAACAAATCACAGCTGTCACGTTTTCCAGTTAATAAACTTCATATCTGATGAGCCATTAGAAATGTTCAATATGTTTGACAACACACACACCAGTTCCTCTTAAGTGCATTTTGGTCAAAAGAGTCAGTTACAGTACATCGGGAAAGTGTTCAGATGTCTACACTCAGTAATGACAACGTATCTTTGCAACATTTCAGAAATAGGAGCCACTTAATATCGAACTCCAAGTGTCACAGCAAAACATCTGAATACTAATGTCAATCTGACACTTAAGTTTTTCCTTTTTTAATACATTGTCAAAAGATCCAGGGGTGTGGATTGTAGATAAATATGATTGTAGATCATGTGGGACGTTACAGAAGTGTTAGATGAGTAATTATATGATGCTTTATTATTCCAGCAGTTGAGAAACTTTCTCTAACTGCTGCTCTTTGGTCTGTGTGTGTCTTTGTGTCTAGGTGTGGAGTTTGGAGCGAGGATGATCACTATAGATGGCAAACAGATCAAACTGCAGATCTGGGATACGGTAATATATTTATCTTTGTCTCATCACATTCCCGCCTCAGTAACAACATCTGAGAAAACGTTACATTCTTTAAACAGCGTGAAGTAATGATAATAAATAATGACGATAAACTTTATTTGTAAAGAACTTTTCATACAAGAAATGAAGAAATGAAATGCACCAAGTTCTTCACATGAAAAGACATAAAATGAACAAAAACATGTTAAAAATGGAATAATAATGAAAAAACATTGAAGTAATAAATGAAATAGTAATTTTAAAAAAAGTGGTGTAAAACAATACTTTTTTTTTATTTCCATTTGTTGTAGTTTTCAAACTAAACAAATGAAATTAAAGTTTTACATTAATCAGATCAAATATTGAGCACAATCAAAACCTTCATGTCAAATACGTCGTATCTTCAAGGTGCTTTATGTGGAAACAAATTCTTTTCACTGTATAATTTGAATATATCAATAAGAGTCAGTGATATTTAAAGCTACAATATGTGATTCCTGGAAATGAAGCTAATCGCTAGCATGAGACTCAAAGGCAAACCACTCCCTGGGCTCTAAAGGGGGTTATACCATCCATCCATCCATCCATCCATCCATCCATCCATCCATCCATCCATCCATCCATCCATCCATCCATCTGCAGGATGGATACGAATTCAAACATCTAAAGTGGCACAGTGAGAATTGTTCGAACCCCTTCCTGCCCAGGTGACGTTCACCGACCACCTTACAACCTTCACTCCAACCGTCCCATGCATTCTTCTTCTTGATATTTCCTTATAGAGTATATCGACATTGGATGTAGTCAAGAGGATGTGGGAGTTTAAACTGCACGGCTGAGTGTAAATGTAAAGTAATGAGGAACCAACTGGTACATCGAGCAGGAGCCATTCAGAGGGAAGTGATGTCCCTCATGGTTTCGACTGTGGTAGAGAAGAAAGTTCAGTTTTTAATTTTCTATGACCTCGTGATGTTTTCCTTGATGTAAGAGTAGTGAAGGAGCGGGGCGCCTCGGTGGCTCACCCGGTAGAGGGCGTACCGCTTAGTCCTAGCCCTGAGTTCGAGTCCCACTCCCTCTCTCCCTCCCTGACCTTCCTGTCTCTCTCCCACTGTACTACCAGAACAAAGGACAAAAATGCCCCAAAATATAACTGTAGAAAGTAGTGAAGAAAGTGAAAAAGGATGTCATGTTTTGGCCGCTGTGATTTGTCCTGGAGGAAGTGTCCTGTACCTGCAGTTAACCAGGTGACCAGCAGATGGAGCCACAGCTCCATATTAAAACGCTGTGTGAGTGAAGAAGGCCTGATGTGAGTCCCGCTCCTCAAAACTCAGAAGAACACGGCGGGTTTTCCGTCCTACCGGCGGGATAATCATCTTCACCTCGCTGGTATTAAATACTGGATGGTTAAAATGACAAGCAGCAGTGACTGGTACAACTCACCACCACCAACAAACAGTTAGAGAAACCAGTTGGATTATTGTGTGTGTGTGTGTGTGTGTGTGTGTGTGTGTGTGTGTGTCTCTCTCTCTCTCTACACACAAGCTTACAGGCCAGATGGCAGACAGACACAGAGATCCCTCTTTTCACCCTTATTTATCATTTATTCCCTTATAGCATTATGGCTGACTGACTGACTGACTGTTCCAGTGGCCACTTAACATGGTGTGTGGTTCACTGGCCGCCTGCTCCTCTGGCTGACTGAGTCACTGACTAGTCGTCTAACTAAGCGACCGACTGCTTCACTCGCCAGCCGACCGGCTTCCCGCCGGGTGACGAACTGGCGGCCTGGTCCGCTGACTTTCTGAGTGATTCATCGACTGACTGTTTCTTACTGACTGACTGTCTGGTGTTTGAGATGAGGTCAGAGCGGTGCAGGGCTGCAGCTGCTGGGATAGAGTGCTGTTTTGTTTTCTGCTCCGGCCTGGTCCAAACACAGACAACATTGTTACAGTACAGCGGCCGGAGACAGAGGGTGAATGGACGTGGCGGCGAGGGGTGGGGGGTTGGGCGGGCGGGTGGGG